ACAGATGTTTAGAAATAGCTTCTGAACAAAAACAAAATATAATCTTGGTAGGTGATATAAATGAAGACCAACTCAATTCTTCCAACCATAAATTCCGTGACATTTTACTAAATAATATGACTAATTTTATACATGCCCCAACTAGAATAACATCTAGTTCACAAACATTACTTGATCCTATCGCAGTTACAGATAATATTTTCGTTTTTGATTCAGGTATATTTGAAACACCAAAGAAGTTAGTGACCATTTTGGAACATATATTTTTCTAAAAATCGATTTTGATTCAAATAAACCATTCAAAAGACGTGTTTGGAATTATAAAAAAGCTGATTTTTCAAAACTTAATAATCTTATCCGCAATACTGATTGGTCAGATATAAAAAATGGAAATATAAATCAAGCTTGTGATTTTTTTACTGATTAAATTCTTAGAACTTGCAAAACAGTGTATTCCTACATATATGGCGTTGATAAGACCCAAGGATAAACCCTGGTTCAATTCAGAAATTCGCAGAAAATCGCGCCAAAGAGATAGACAGTTTCACAAAGCATTAAATTCTAATAGATCATCAGACTGGGTAATATGTAAACAATTAAGAAATACAGTAAATAATATGAAAAAACATGCAAAAGAAATATTTTATAATTACCTCAAATTTTCCCTAAATGACTTAAATTCTTCGAATCCGCGTGAATATTGGCATACAATTAAAATGCTTGTCAAGGAAAACTCGTCTAATACTGAAAGTATACCACCTTTAAAATGTAACACAAGTAACAATAATTATTCAATGACAGATTTTGAAAAGGCTAATACGCTTAATGATTTTTTTGTTTCCATTTCAGACCTTGACGAATCAAATATTGATCTTCCAGATTTTTCATTAAGAACAGAAGCGATTCTTGAAAATTTTACAACAAGTGAACAGGAAATTACAGATATTTTGGCAAATTTATTCGTAAACAAAGCATCCGGGCCTGACAAAATTAGTCATAAAATGTTAAAAGAAACGTCTAAAACACTGTGTAAACCACTCTCTTTGCTTTATAACCGTTCTTTATCAGAGAAAATATATCCGTCTAGTTGGAAATTAACACATGTAATGCCTCTTTTTAAAAAAGGTGACAAAGATATACCGTCAAACTACAGGCCTATTTCTCTTATTAGTTGCACCGGCAAAGTTATGGAACGTATCGTTTTTAAACATATTTTTAACTATCTTCATGAAAATGCTTTAATATTTCAAAATCAGTCAGGTTTTCTGCCAGGTCATTCAACTGTTTTTCAACTTATAGATATATATGATCAAATTTGTAAAGCTTTAGACAAAAAAGAATCAACATGTATGGTTTTCTGTGATATATCAAAAGCGTTTGACAGAGTTTGGCATAAGGGTTTAATTTTCAAATTAAGACAGTACGGAATTTCAGGTGATTTAATTCTTTGGCTAGAAAATTATTTGAATAGAAATCAGAAAGTTTGTTGGGACTTCTTTTTCTAATTTACGATACCTTTATGGCGGTGTCCCTCAAGGCTCGGTTCTTGGGCCTCTTTTGTTTTTAATTTACGTTAATGATATTGCCGATTCCCTTTTAAGTAAAACACGACTTTTTGCAGATGATAGTTCTTTAGCTGTGTCTACGAATAATATTAGTACGATGGAATATAAACTCAATCATGATCTCAATATGTTAAATAAATGGTCTAATTAATGGTTAGTTAATTTTAATCCTTCTAAAACCGAGGTTATGTTCTTTGCGTTTTGTAATAGAGATCGTCCACAATTATACTTTGATAATTTTCAATTAAATTTTGTAGAGCACCATAAACACCTCGGCGTAACTCTAAGTCAGGATGGATCATGGCACGAAAATATTACTACTATAGTTTCTTCGGCATCAAAAATTTTAGGTTCTGTGAAAAGGATAAAGTTTAAAGTTCAAAGAAGTACACTCAATTATATATATATTTCATACTTCCTCGTCTTGAATTTGCTTCACTTTTATGGGATAACTGTACCCAGTACGAGAAAGATATTTTAGAAAAAATGCAATATGAAGCGGCTAGAATTGTCACCGGTTTAACAAGATCAGTGTCCATTAAAAATTTATTAAAAGAAATAGGGTGGGTATCTTTGGCAGAAAGAAGAAAAAATCAAAAACTTGTTTTAGTATACAAAGATAAACATAATTTACTGCCATTGTATTTATCACAGTTATTTCCCCCTTTAGTAGAAAATGCAAATGAAAACCAGTATAATTTAAGAAATAACATCAATTATGTTACTATGACAAGGAGAACCGAAATATACTCAAAATCAGTTATACCGTCATCAATACAGCTTTGGAATGAATTATCAATAAATATTACAGAATCTGAATCGTTAGCAAACTTTAAAAGAAAACTGAAAGAAATTTATAAACCTCCCATTGTTCCGTCTTATTTTATAAACGGTGAGGGCTCACCAACAGTATACCATACACGTCTTAGGAATAATTGCAGTAATTTAAACTCGGACTTATATAACAATCATATTACACAAAACCCAGCTTGTGAATGCAGTGCTTTAATAGAGGACGCTGAACATTTTTTATTTCAATGCAAAAAATTTAATCATCAGAGGATAGAACTTTTTAGAAATACATATAATTTTCTGCGTTTGAACGCAGTGAATTAGAAGATAATTATTTCCCCCTGTTTCGTTGTAATTGTTTGCAATAGGTGGCGCTGTGCAGCGCACGAGTTTCTCGGGTATAATGTACAACGTGGTCATTCAGCGCTAGGACAGCCGACGATAATGAGTGAAGAAAATTCTAACAGTACTTCAGATTTAATCCAACAGCAGTTATTGCAAATAACACAGCAGTTACAAAGGCACAACGACGATGTTAATTCTTTACGTGAAGAAGTACGGGGTAATAATATTTCTGTAGGGAAGGAAGTTAAAAAGTTAAAAGCAGATTTGGACTTTGACTGGAAGAGAAAAGGTAATAAAATTCAGCATGAATTTAACCGTGATATACTGGAACATTTAAATCAATTGGACTGGGCTCTTAAAAACAAACAGTACGAGTACTGCAGCGAAATCCTGCAAGAATCAGTAGATTTAGTCTCTCGCAGACAGAAACTAATTCAAGTCGCTGACCAGTCCGAATTCGGGTGGGATACTGTTGATTGTTATACAACAAACCCTCTCGCCAGTGATTCCGACGATGAAGCAAAGCTCCGAAGGGCTGAAAATCAAACAGCTAAACGTCGAAAGTCTAAGTCAGCCAAACGTTCTCAGACGACACGCAGACAACCATCTGCTACGGTTACTGCGCCTTCTATTCCTCCTACTTTTCGCTTCCCAAACGCAGCAGCATCACCAGCACCATTTCCGATCTCACAAGCACGAAGCACTGGGTTTTTTCGAGGCTCCAGCCCATATCAACAACGATCTACCGCCTACGGTTCCTGTTTCATGTGTGGATCTTTCGACCACTTCCGGCGCTCATGCCCACTTGTCGCAGACAGTTCAGCAACCAGCTTTAAGCCAATCAAGAAGTAACATTTCGGATACAGTTGATTTAGAAGATGAGTATTTATGTAATGACTCTGAAAATTTAATGACAGATAAAATTAAGTTTTAAACAGAGGATTATTTTGAATACGAGTCTGGTCAGAAAGAAATAATTGTTAGGGGTAGATTAAGACAAAATTAAAATTTTTGGAAATCGATTACAACAAATAATTTTGTTATTGATACGATTTTGCAGGGTTATAAAATTCCTTTTTTCTCTAAACCCGAACTATGCCATTTGCCCAATAATAAGTCTGCTTTAGAAAACAAAGCCTTTGTTATTCAAGCTATTCATGAATTGTTAGACAGGGGCTTGATAGAAATTTGCGAAAAAAAACCATTTATTGTAAATCCTTTGACTGTTTCTGTTCGTTCGAATGACAAACGTAGGCTTATTCTAGATTTACGTGCAGTTAACAAGCATTTATGGAAACAGTATTTTAAATATGACGATATCAAAATTGCTCTTGAATTTCTCAAAAAAGGTTCATGGATGATAAAATTTGATATTCATTCCGCCTATCATTTTATTGAGATTTTCCCGCCACATACTACATTTTTGGGGTTTTCCTGGACAAATTTACAAGGCGTTTCAACTTTTTATAAGTTTTTAGTTCTCCCTTTTGGCTTATCTACGAGCGCATATGTTTTCAATAAGGTGTTTCGCCCTTTAATTGTAAAATGGCGGGGCGAGGTCAAAAAGACTTTATGTTTTCTTGATGATGGTTTCGCTACAGACGAAACCCATGATAAAATAAGCACCGTAGCTGCAGAGATTAAGCAAGATCTGATTTCTTCAGGTTTTGTTCCCGAATTAGAGAAATGTATTTGGGAACCTACGCTTATCATGGATTTTTTAGGTTTAAACTTAAATTCTGAATCTGGTATAATTTCCGTACCGGAAGCGAGAATTTCAAAGTGTTTAAACGCACTTGAAATGATCGAAAGTGCTATAAAGAAACACAGTCGTGTTTGTGTACGTTTATTAGCTAGTTTCGTAGGTCAAATCATATCAATGTCTATCGTATTCGGAAATATTTCCCTTATCATGACTAAATATATTAGTATGGATATATTAGTTGCTCCTCACTGGAATTATTATGTCCGAGTTTCTCATGAAAGTAGGGAACAATTAGAGTTTTGGCGAAACGAAATACTTAATTTAAGCGCTAGGGACATGTATAGTAACCCCTCATACTCTAAAATAGTATATTCTGACTCAAGTAGTTACGCTTACTGTGGTTACGAAGTAACAACTATTCAAAGCGTTACTTACGGTCTTTGGTCTCCCGAGGAAATGCTACTTTCCTCTACTTGGAGAGAATTAACCGCAGTTTTCAGGGTTTAAAATCTATAGCACATTTGCTTAGAGGCAACCGTATTAAATGGTTTACTGACAATCAAGCAGTCAGTAAAATAATACCAAAAGGGTCGATGGTACGTGATTTACAGCAAGTTGCTGTTAGTATATACAGATTTTGTTTACAAAATTCGATTTCTATAGATGTAGAATAGATTCCGAGGTCTCAGAATCAGAAAAGCGATTACATATCAAACATTATCGATTATGATGATTGGGGAATCAATTTCACTATTTTAAATACTTTACAGTCAAAATGGGGACTATTCGATGTAGACTGGTTCGCCTCTAATCATAACGCTAAATTGCCTGTATTTTGGTCACGTTTTTGGAACGATAATTGTTCAGGAGTCGATTCTTTTTCAGAAGAATGGTCAGGGAGATTCGGACTTTTTGTACCGCCAATATCTATTGTGATAAAGGTCCTTCGTAAAATGAAACAAGACAGAGCACAAGGAATTCTTGTTGTTCCCAAATGGTTCTCAGCGCCTTTTTGGCCTATTTTATGTCCCGATGGTACATTTTGTAAAGAAGTAGTAGATTTTATTATCTTACCTCGTGAAAAGCAATTTTACACAAAATGTTCGAACGGAAGGGGTATTTTTGGCAATCAAGATTTATCTTTCGATATGCTTGCTCTAAAAATTGTTTTCTAAAAAGTGTTTTATAGAGTTAACAAGCGTCTAACGTCACGCAGTACTCAATATCACACTAAATCTAGACCTATGTGAGCATAAATAAGATTTTGAAATCATTAGATTTTTAACAGGCTTAGCAGCCATGAGAATAGTTGTTATACTTAGTAGCAAAGCATAAGAATATTTTGACGAGGCATAGCAGCCATGAGAATTGCTAACGGTAATACTTTAATGAGGCTTAGCAGACATGATACTAGCTTAATGAGGCTCTTAGCAGCCATGAGAATAGTTTAATTAGGCTAAGCAGCCATGAGAATAGCTTATAATTAGGCTTAGCGGCCATGAGAATAGCTTAATGAGGCTTAGCAGCCATGAAAATAGCTTAATGAGGATTAGCAGCCATGAGAATAGCTTAATGTGGCTTAGCAGCCATGAGAATAGTTTAATGAGGCTTATAGCAGCCATTAATTTTAAGATTAATTAACTGTGTAAATGTTTCCTTTAAGACTTAACATACACGACGTTAATTTTTATAAAGTTTAGCATTTTATTGGTATTTATCTTATCGTGACATACATATGTTAAGAATATTTTTGTTCGTTTAGTTTTTTGATAATTTTTTGTAATTAAGACGTTTATATATAAATAGAGAGACACTTTGGTCTCTCGAATTATTGTTTTGGTATTTTAAGAATGGTTAATTTGTGTCACTTAAACATAAGTTTCAAGATGTTTTCTAAATTTTATGTATAACGAATTTTACACGCAATCAAGTTTTCATGTAATTTAAAAGTATGATTATACATTTATTTTTCCAGAGCCATCGTGACGAGATAGATAGCCTGCCGGAGATCCTGGTGGACAAAGTGACTCTACTGCCGGATATACTCCACCAGTCTAGAGCTGACAGCACGCGCAAAAACTATTCAAATGCTTTCAACAGATGGAGGGTTTGGGCTTTAGCTAACGGTCTTGGTAGTGGGGACATTTTGCCCGCAAGGGATTTTCCGGTGGCTTTATATCTTACGTCATTGATACAAAGTGCTAATTCTTGTAGGCCTATAATAACGGCATTTTACAGCATTAAGTGGTTTCATGACATTTATAACTTTAGTTCTCCAACTAATTCTAAAATTGTTCTTAACATATTAGAGGCAGCTAAACGCATTTTAGCTAAACCTGTTAATAAAAAAGAACAGATTACAGTTGAATTATTACAGTCTATGTATCACAGTTTGTTTGAAGAAGGAAATGTTTTTACACAGAGAACTATTTGTGCATTACTTTTATCGTTCTCCGGTTTTTTAAGGAGTTCGGAACTGTTGAATTTACATTATAATGACGTTGTTTTGCATAATACTCATATGGATATTTTCATAGAATCAAGCAAAACTGACCGTTATAGGGACGGTGCTTGGCTTGTTATAGCAAGAACTGGTACAGAGTCCCAGTTGAAAATTTGAAAAAATATTTTTTATGGGCTAATTTTTCCACTGATTCAAGTTCTTATATTTTCTGTGGTTTAAGTGCAACTTTAATAGGGCATAAACCTAAACTTGTTGATAAACACATTTCTTATTCTACTTTGAGAGATTTATTTCATAAAGCGTTAGCTCCACATGTCAAAGATGTTTCTAAGTTCTGTTTACATTCCCTGCGCTCAGGCGGAGCTTCAGCCGCAGCTAACCGCGGCATTAAAGACCGAATGTTTAAAAGACACGGCCGTTGGTCTAGTGAAAACGCTAAAGACGGTTATATCAAAGACAATATGGGGGAAAGATTGTTAGTATCTCAAAGTTTAGGTTTATAATAGTATTAATGCTATTGTAATATTGATATCGCAACGTTTAACTTGGCGCAATTAGTTTCCATTCTTTGCCCGTTCTTTGAGGTCAGCCGGCATCCAAAGTCGCTTACAACAAATTAAACAATTTGAAATATTTATGTTCGTTTCTTTCATTTTGTCACTTTGCAAACAGTTTGCAATGATCTAGGGGGAATATAATTTTCTGCGTTTGAACGCAGTGAATTAGAAGATAATTATTTCCCCCTGTTTCGTTGTAATTGTTTGCAATAGGTGGCGCTGTGCAGCGCACGAGTTTCTCGGGTATAATGTACAACGTGGTCATTCAGCGCTAGGACAGCCGACGATAATGAGTGAAGAAAATTCTAATTTTAATATCTAACTAATCGTAAGATATGAAGTTGCGCCAAGTTAATAAGATTTTTGTATTACATATGTTTATGTTGTTAATGCTGTTGGAAATGAAGATGATAACGCTTATCTTTTGACGTTACATTTGTATTCTATAAATGTTTGTACTTTAAGTAAAAGTATTGTGAAACAGTCGGCATATCCAAAGTCGCTTACAACAAATTAAACAATTTGAAATGTTTATGTTCGTTTCTTTCATTTTGTCACTTTGCAAACAGTTTGCAATGATCTAGGGGGAAAGAGAATTTCAGAAAATATATTTATTTACAATTTTTTTTTTCTAATTATTTTTTCTTAGATTTCAACTTAATTAATCATACTTTACATGTGTCTTTTTCACATCTATTTTTAAATAACATTGCAGTCAGTATCTCAGGGGATGGCCCCCGATAATGTTGTTATAACTTTTGGCCCAACCCTTTTGTATATTTACATTAATGTATTTATGTATAGTTGTGAAATTTTATGTATGTATGTATATATATACAATAAAATATGTTTAAACTAAACCTGAATAGAACCACCGACGTTCCGTAAGCTAGCTGGATAGCTTCCAAAGTCCCTGTCGGGATTCGAACCCACATCGGTGAGGGGCAAATGGTTTGAAGTCAACGACCTTTACCACTCGGCCACGGACGCCTTCAAAATCATTCAACTAGTAATGAAATGTAAGGTCAAACTGAGATAAAATTTGTCAAATTTAAAGTGACATGCGCATCCGAGAGGAAACATTGAATTAGCAGGTAAAAATAAAAATTATTTGACTCTTTGCCATAATTGTGTTCAATATTTTTATTTTACTATAACAAAACAATCAATAACCCACGGGACCAACAGAATTTTCAAAAAATATAAAATGTATCGTTAAATTTTCAACTCTTAAAAAGAGACAGTCGGTTTATGATTTTGGTCGTTTTTATATTGTATCGTAAACATTTTAAATTATCGTAAACATTTTACATTATCAATTTAATCAAGCGTGTCAAGTTTGTCGATATGATTAAAAAAATTGTTAAGTGTAGAACCGACATTGCTAATTACTTGAATGATTTTTCTTTCGAAAGCGGCCATTGTTTTGGAAATAAACGGTGCAATATTAAAAATTATTTTCATAATATTTATGTTTCCGAAATTATTTTTATGTTAGTCCACATCAGACAACATTTTTTTCAAACCGTGTTTACTTTTTACAATAAATATCAAAATTGAAAAAATCATATCGTCAAAAATGTAGACGAAAAAATGTTGTGGTGGCAGAGATCTAATGCTGTAAGGGGAGATCACTGCATTGGAGATTGATCAACATAACGCTAAGACGCTCTAAAAGTTAGCGTTATAAATGAAAAACAAAATGTTATTTTTCGCTTCAAGCGGTCTTTCTTTTTTGAATGTGATAAAAAGAATATTAAACTTGTGCAAGTTTAATACTAAATTTATTGAACTCGCCAGATGCTAGCATAATATAATATTTTTCAACTCGTTCCAGAAATTCAGTATTAAACTCAAACTCATTCAATATCCTCTGTTTAATACATGGGATAAAATGAAAGACTTTAAAATCAAATTGAACATAATAATAATGTATAGCATGCTGTTCTCAAATAATGCATGTAATCATATGGTAAACATGCACAGGAAATGCAACCGCTGTCTTCTTTTTCATTATTTAAAGTTTATAGATAGCCAAATTAAGGCTGGTTGATGATATGCACTTGATGCATAAGCGTTCGTTCTTGAAATTTCAGAAAGCGCTTTGGATAATGGAAATATGGCTGCAGTATTGTTCAGGATGATTGTAGAAATAGAGTCGATAAATTTGTCTCATGATAACAAATGTGGATGAATCGAAAACAATTAAATTGGCTTCATCATTCTTGTTATGCACGATACTCGAAAATATTAAATGGCAACATGGATTTGTATTTGAAAAATGTTGTAAGAAGTGAAACATTCTTATTCAGACAGCAAGTCTAAATTAAGAATTCAAGTCCGGAAAATGTTGTCAGAGAATATCTGTAATAAATTTATCAATCATTTTTTGGTAAACGAATTTTACGTCTACAAACTATTCTTTGTTTTATATGTTATATATCCAATAGGAATCTTTTGAATGTACCCTGTATCACAAAACAATATAGACCATTACACTGAGAACTGAACTGATTATAAAAACTCTTTAAGGTAATTGCTTTTTAAAAACCAACTTCTCTATTAAGTTACATATTGTTTCCACTAAAGAGGACAAAAAGCAGCCGCAAGATCAGGGTAATATTATTTGTTTTGATTGATATCCTACGAACTTATTACTTGAACCAACTTTTACTTTAACCAACAAAGTTTAATCCAAACTGATTGCATGTAATTAGACATATCGATGCAACTTATGCAATTTATTTATTCCAATCAGGCATTAATGTGTCAATAATGAAAACTCATGATCTTTTAAACAAGAACGCTTGCCATTTGAAGTACTTGCCTTCAAGGATTAAAGAAAAGTTATGAAATCTAAATTTTTGGTATGGCATGAAAAAAGGTAATTTTACTATCGTGATAAGTATAACACCAGCTGTATAATACTCGAGATGTATAATACTCGAGATGAATCCTGTAGAAATGTGATAAATAAGATTAAAAGATATCTTTGTGTCTGCCTTATTAATAGATAATCACATTTGATAAAATTTTAGTTTTGTCTGTTAATTTGTCTGTATATTTTTAACTTGAATAATCTTACTGCTTAAAATGCTGTACAGTTTATGCCTGAAGGGATATCAGATTTTTTTTTTCATTAGTATATGAAACAGCAATTTTTCAATTTATCGAAACGCTTTTTTCTTGTAATAACAACAACAATAAAAAGATTAACTCAGTACAATAATATAAATGTAACAATTTATCTATTTAAAGTGATGTATTGTTAAAGAATTTCTAAACTAAATCAATAGGTCTCGGACAATTTTGTGCATAGGAATTAATTGTTTTAATTAACTGTGATGATGTAAAGGGGACTCCACTGAGTGAGTATTCTTTCTTTCTTTTTTTCTTGACATGACGGGACTGGAAATCTGATTTTTTTTGTTTCATGTGATATTGATTTAAAACAATAATTTGTGTTCAAATTTTAGATCATTGTCTCCCTTTTTCCAGAATAGTAATGTTTATTTAGCAAATGACACAAAATGAAAACCGTTTAAACGTTTCAACAAAAATCGTGCCAAAAATTGTACTAAAAGTCAGTTAAATATCTTCGGACTTCTCTAATATTGTTATATTGCACTTCTAATTTAATGTAGATTTAGCGAGAATGTTAACACATCCGTCGTAAAGTACAAATTAAAGGTGAATTCTTATCGTAAATGAATTAAAAACTAGTTGCATTATATGAAATATTTTTCATATTGATTTGCACATAGCATTTATGTAGGAAGTAAATAGTTAATGAAGTCTTTTAATCGAATAAATTAATATTCAAATAGCTTAATTCAATATTGTCTAGACTATAAAAATTGTTTATGCAGTATCATTTTTATGACAATTTGTAAATATTGTCTAAATGAACATCGAATATAAAAAAACCACGAAAATGCATTATCTATCATTATAGTCATTCAGATTTTTATTCAGATGTTGAAAAACTGTTACAGCATTTGAAACATTCTTTATTTTATTCGATTGTTCTTACCTTGTGTATTTGTTTCTTTAGATTTCTTCGTCTATGAATTCAAGATATCTAGTTGGGAGTTTTAAAAAGAAATACAAAGCATTGTAGATTCATTCTGACTAAGTGGATTAAAGGGAAGCCTTATTGTCCTTTTTTAAAACTTTCTTGATCACAAAGTTGTGGTACTAAACGATTTGTCAAATTAAAGTAATGCAAAGCATTATTTTATTTTATTTTACTTTTAAATTATTACATTGCTTAACATCGTTTAGAGTCTTCGTTTCCAAACATTTTAGCCTTGTATTACGATGTCATTTTTCAAATCTGTTTTAGACGGAATGTTAATTATAAATAAATCTCAAAGATTCGTGTTATTATGAGGTAATGGGAAGATCAGAAACATATTACATATCTTTTTTGCATCATATGTTCCTAGAAATTATGATATATTGTTGCAAATAACATATTCTCGTAGCATTAAAATATTTGTCTCACCACCAGAAATAATTATAAACATTTTTGCCAGTTATTTATGTCCTCTATTTCAAATTAATGTGTTGTAAACGGAGATAATTCAGACTCTGAAT